AAATAAACAAAACCGATTCCTCTCAAACAGTAACTAGAGAAGGACATTAAAATAATCCAATTATTGGTTGGTAACAATAACATTGTTGGACACTCCATATCCAACAAATAAACAAAACCGATTCCTCTCAAACAGTAACTAGAGAAGGACATTAAAATAATCCAATTATTGGTTGGTAACAATAACACTGTTGGACACTTCATATCCAACAAATAAACAAAACCGATTCCTCTCAAACAGTAACTAGAGAAGGACATTAAAATAATCCAATTATTGGTTGGTAACAATAACATTGTTGGACACTTCATATCCAACAAATAAACAAAACCAATTCCTCTCAAACATTAACTAGAGAAGGACATTAAAATAATCCAATTATTGGTTGGTAACAATAACACTGATGGACACTTCATATCCAACAAATAAACAAAACCGATTCCTCTCAAACATTAACTAGAGAAAGACATTAAAATAATCCAACTATTGGTTGGTAACAATAACACTGTTGGAGCCTTCATATCCAACAAATAAACAAAACCGATTCCTCTCAAACATTAACTAGAGATGTACATTAAAATAATTTAAGTTCACCTTAATCTCTTTATAAACTACAATTTATTTAAAGCAAATATACGTATTAACGATATTTAATTTTCCGCTATACTTGGGTCTTCTTCTATGTCGGTATTTAATTATGAAGTCCTTGCTTTATAGAATGAAGTGGGGATACTGTTTTCTTCACTCAACACAAAGCCAAATCCTACGAGTGGTTATTTAATCTGCACAAATACAGTATTGTTGGTTCAGACACCAAAGTCTACCACTTAACACCTGATACCACGCAAATATGCAGAGTCTCGTTGATCTTTAGATAATAAAATCCAGGTTATCACCTGTGTTTGTTTGTCACCGCCTAGAGACGAGGAGTTATATTAGTGTTTAGGGGTCATTCGTATGATGGAAAGCTCACAAATTTTTGGAAATTAACTGTTTTGGAAGTTATTTTTAGTTTCTTAGTGTAGCACGTTGTATGGCCATTTCGTGATTTCAATCGTTCCCGATTTGGTTTTTTTTACAGCACAGCGACCTCCAAGGATTACAGAACATCCAAATAGCCTCGTGGTAAAAAAGCTCGAGCCTGCTAAGTTGAACTGTAAAGCAGATGGAGAACCCACTCCAGAAATCGAGTGGTTTCACAATGGCGAACGGATCATTCACGATACTCCAAACCGGATGATCTTACTCAAAGGCATGTCCCTCTTCTTCCTTCACGTCATCCAGAACAAGAGAGAACAAGATACTGGCACCTACTGGTGTTTGGCTCGAAACCCTCTTGGTGAAGCCAGAAGCAGGAATGCAACTGTTGACCTCGCAGGTTTGTTACCACCTTTGTATCTCAGGTAATAAATACCCACTATTTACACTACACCACCAAAGTCACCGTGTCAGCAAAACGTGCATAACAAATGCGTCTTCTTGTGTGTCACGCTGTATACAACACTAGGTAGTACTGTTATGCTAACAGAATGTCACGCTGTATACAACACTAGCTGGTACTGTTATGCTAACAGAATGTCACGCTGTATACAACACTAGCTGGTACTGTTATGCTAACAGAATGTCACGCTGTATACAACACTAGCTGGTACTGTTATGCTAACAGAATGTCACGCTGTATACAACACTAGCTGGTACTGTTATGCTAACAGAATAGAAAAGAGAAAATTTTACATCAAGAATCCTATCGATTAAATTAAGATTCTCTTCGATACCGATTAGATATTGAACACCAACAAAACACTATTTGCTACATGTCAATCGATATGGTGACCATATTAAACGTTTAGAAAGAATGAAACGCGCAAAATAATTTAACGCAATAAATTATCATTATTTTGCAATCCAGGTTTGTTCTTCACAGGATTAGTTGTTTTAATTAACGAGTAACAAACACGTGGTTTATTTAAGTAGTTTTAAGCTTTCTTCGTTTTATTTATTCTTATTGTTTGTTCGAAGTGTGTTTTTAATTATTATTTTTTGTTACTTCAATCTGTATTGAAGAGCAGTCTTAAGTTGCAAAAGCGCCCCTCCAATAATAATAATAATAATCCAATAATATAATTTAATAATTAAAATATACCTATATACAACACTAAAATATAAAAACATTGTAATTAACCACTCATAACACTTTTGTTTTTACATAAAACAGCCTTTTGTCTAATTTCCACAATACGAAAAATAGAGAAGCAAAGATCCAGGCAAGTTTATTCGATTCTATAAATCTCCAATCGATAAATCCGAGGCAAACAAGTGAAACTGAAATAAATATTCTGTACTTGTGAATTTTGCTTTTCTTCGCCAAACCAGTGGAAAGAAAAAAAAATCTATGAATGACGGAGAAGCCTAGTCCAATATTTGCTTCGCTACGCCCTCTGAACAAAAACCTAGAAAATAAATATTCTCTGCTTTGAAATACAGACGAAAAGATTTAAAACATTACTGACCCATCGAATGCCTTAATAACTTTAGTGTTAGTAATATAGCTATTATTACATCTGGTATCATTAGCTGTTTATGGCAGAGTAAAGGCTTATATTTCTTAGGCTTTCTTTATACTGTTTACAGAACAATTATAATTTAACACATTGACACTCGATATTAAGCTGTAAACATTCTTTACATTAACTCGGAACTTTCTGTACATTAGTTTGTCTTAAAAACAAGCAAGTTTGTTCTTTTTCTTAAACCGAGGGCAGATATAAATGACCTTGTTCGTTTGTTTGTCCAATAATCGCGCAAAGCTACACAAGGGCTAACTGCGATGACCGTCCTTAATTGTGAAGTGGTAAGATTGAAAATAAGGCAATTACTCCACAGTACCAACCACCAGCTATTGGCTACTCTAGACGAATAGTATGACCTGACCGTCGCTCTCTGGATGATTTGAGTAAAACAAACTGCTTTGTTCACATTTCTCTGTTAACATATGCTGAGTACTTGAACAATTTGTCTCGCCAAATATTGATTTTCATGTAAAATGGATGTTTAAAAGTTTTAAAGGCATGAAATTATTCTTTTTAAACCCAGATCCTGTTTAATCAATATGTGTAAAGGTAGTTCTAGAATATGTTTGCTTGTTTTGAATTTCGCGCAAAGCTACGCGAGGGCTATCTGCGCGAGCCATCCCTAATTTAGCAGTGTAAGACTAGAAGGAAGGCAGCTAGTCATCACCACCCACCGCCAACTCTTGGGCTACTCTTTTACCAACGAATAGTGGGATTGATCGTCATATTATAATGCCTCCACGGCTGAAAGGGCGAGCATGTTTGGTATGACGGGGATTCAAACCCGCGACCTGCAGATTGCGAGTCGAGCGCCCCCTAACCACATGACCATGACGGGCCTCTAGAATATGAACACATCTTTCCCAATCAAACACTTGTTTCCACAGTCATTACAGTTTTTAACACACACACACACAATAAAGGTGGATTTTATCTTTTGTCTGCGTATCGTCCCATTTTCTTTGACTTTCAATGACTTTTTTTAAAGTATACTTATAAGTAAGTATATGGATTAATGATATTATCCGAGTTAAAAACTCGAAAGTTCAATATAGGGGGCGCTAAAGTAACATTCGTAAATAATATCCAGAAATTCATGTAATGCCTAGCATAGCTGTCGGTGTTTCATGGGTTCGAAACTTTATTTTGTTTCAAACTTAACATATAATATCAATTAATGTAAAGGAGGGCGTTTTTGTCGAATATGAATTATGTGTAAAAATTGTCGCTTTCTCATATAAATCAGTGTTCACCAATGTTGTTTCTCAGTTACACAATACGAACGCGAAAACATAATTTTCTAGCACATTTCTCAACAGGTCAATTCGTGTAAAAAAAATGTATTCTAGCTTGTCATTCAGGAGTTCAACTTGCAAAAGTGAAGTTTTCAACTTTGTTTACATATTCTAAGAGACTTTTCAATGAAAATATGGTCTTGCGAAATACTTTTCTAAGAATGGCAGATAAGCTTCAAAGATATCCGGCAATAAATCAATGAGTGCTGATGGTAGAGATAGATCACTATATACAATATTATAAAACAATTATACCGAATATTTTATACTTTCTTACTGGAAACCACTTTTAACTCTCGAACAACTTTCATTCTAATGTTACTGGAAATCGTGTCGTACATTTAATTATTTGACTTTAAAGTCCGTTACCCATGATGTATCTTACGTATTAACGCAATAAACCACTTAATACATTCTAAGGAACAAGCCAGCGTTTATCAAGACTATAAGATTAGTCCAAAGTAAAGAGTATTTACTACTGAGCTAATCTATTCATCATCGTCTACACTCTCGTCATAAGAGTCAGGGGAATTTTAGCGGTTCGGGGTTAGTCTGTCGTAACAAATCAAAATTTACATGTACAGCTATTATATTAGTTTAGGCGTGGTGGTCTACAAGCTTGTATTACGTGCATTGAACTACTGATAAACTACAAAATAATAATGTAATTTAAAGGCGTTAGAGGGCCTGAAGAGTCAACAATCGCATAAAAATGTACTAATCGCCAAAGATTGTCGTAAATTTAACATTCCTTTACAAGACCGGATATTAATTGTGTATAAGAGCTTAAGCTTAAGATCAAAGTATAGCCGGTATTTATCTGTCGGCTCGTGGTAGGCCTTTGTTCATTATGTTAAGAAAACATCCAGGTTCAAAATAAAATTAATTAGAAAAATCAAGAAATTATATAACGTGAGCACGTTCTAGAGGTAGACCTTTCTTTATCAGGGTCAAGTTGGAAATGTACGTTTGACCTGTTGACTTTATTGCTTTTCGAATAAAATGCCAGCTGGTGAAGAAAATGCAGCTAGTGTGAGACATCTGTTTTGAATCAGTGATTTCTGATTATCAGATCATACAAAAGCGTGATTTAGATCGCAGAAACTGTAAATGCGCATGAAATCTTACACTGATCGTGGTTACATACGAAAAACATACATTTCGGTTCAATATCTTTCTCTGGAAGCTTCTAGCTCAAAAACGTAATTTCGTTCGTCCTATATGGATGGACAAAGGCTTAACATTTTGTTTTTATTACTCGCCAATTAAGATTCATTTTTTTCTACAAAAAATATCGTGTTTTTTTGTTAGTTTGTTTTTCTTACCAATGTTGTGTATTAATTATTATTATTCTCGATTTAGTTAATTTAGTTTATAAAAGTGTATTATTCGAATAAGTCATTTAATAAATATACATACTAAAAGTAGTGTTCATAAAAGTAATTTTTATGACAAGTTAAGCCTCTTTTGAACACGCAGTGTATTTAACATACAACATGAATTGTTTCCGCTGCATTATTTCAAAAGATTCTTCTACGTTATATACGAAATATAGTAACCACGTACGTTGATATGCATATAAAAAAATCAAACTTTAACCCTCTTTGCGAACCAGTTCTATGACGTACATTCCGACAGTGGGTTTTATAAACCCTGGACTTTCTCCAAACTACGTCAAGACACACTGTCACGATGGTAGACAGTGACAACGTGAAGTGAATATGGGTCTGACAGAAACGGTATATTTTGTTAACCGAGGTGGCATACCACTCAAATGACAGCTCGTCGTCCGTACCTGCCACAAAATTGTTGATTATACACGCATTGTAGACCCCTGTCGGGCCTCTGTCGTCGCCATGGGAACTGGTGAATTTGTCTGAAAATAAGCGGTGCAAAGTGACCTAATTACGAACACTTTGGGTGAAAGATCAAAGGACTTCACGCAAAATTACTCAGCAGATTCACCTTTAACTGACCTTGAAAAAGCTCCCGCAGTTACAAATAATTGCTAACTACATCTGTAGGCGGCGTGCTAAAGTACTCAATCAAAAACATTTCCAGTCATTTTACACACACAGAAATTATGAAAACTTTGAGATTACTGGTGAGCCATGCCTAAGATCGAGTTTTATTTTCATTTCTTCAAATAAATACGCGAACAAATGAGTCAAGTCTTTAAAAATCCTCAACAGATGGAAAATCTCACTTGCAAAATTTTGGGAAAGAAGTCTGGAACGTCAGATCAGTAAATAGTTTATCGTGAGCGCGGCTATCAGTGAATGTCTATAAAAATCACTATCTACACGATATTACATACGATTTTTTTATTGATTACCAATTTCTGAAGAGTTTTTGAGATCTCTCGGTGAAAGTTGACGGTTTGAAATATCTCACGTACTTACCATTCTTGTCTTGTTATTTTATAATCTGGCCTATCTTTTGATGATTTATTTTTCCAAACCACGGCCACAGCCGTATATTTCATTTAACAAAATGGCCTCGGAAGAGGTTTC